CCCCATTAACTATTAGAAAATCAAACATTGAAAAAAGCAAATTTTTTTCGTATGAATTCTACTGGTGTACGGCCATTTTAACACCAATGACAGCCTCAGTGGCCCACCGCACTTTGTCATCATGTGACACCGGCAGAGTTAAATATGATTTATGTCTCTTAGCTGAGGAATTATGGATGAGCTATAAAAGCATGCCTGTGTATTTTAGAAGAAATGGATATCTTCTATGCTTCATGGCTTCATGCAAATGGTAAAGTGCTCATGGAAATATTCCACCTAATTCCCCCGGATTATTTTAGATTGAACCTCTAAAATTAGCTTTAAAACGCGGACGCCGGCGATTACACGGTATATGGAAAAAGCTGATTAAAGAAGTGTGACAAAGGCGGAATTGAATCCTCCATGCTTTTATTTAACCTGAGCTCCGGTCTGTTTTCCATGTAAACAGAGAATCTCCCATTATCTGCCCTGAATAATGGCGACCTGAGTCCCGAGCTGTCACTTTTATAAATGAATGGCCACGCATGTCATATATAGCTTAAGGTCCTCAGCGCAGCCATTACTTGGAAATAATCGTTTGAAGTGGGATAAGAAAGCATGGAGCACAAATGCTTTTATGAGTATAATCCTACATCTCAGATTTCTACCCTCGTTTATAGATGGAGCACTTCATGCCCATATGCCCTTTGGTGGGAAAAAAGGTGAGGAGCTTTGTAATATATAGCTGGAGAATGGTGGATGAGCAGAGGGGGAGATTCCTTAAAGGGTTTCTAAAGCCTCCGGTTTTTTTTTGCATATATCTACTGCTAGCAAGCAGTAGATATATGCAAAAAGTTTTTTTATTTTTTTAAACACTTTAACAGTGGTTTAAACGTACCTGTGTCTTCGCTGCGCGCTCCCGTCAGAAAATTGTAAACTGCTCGGGCGGGCGCATGCGCAGTTCGTAAATTTCGGCCGGGAGACGAGGAGAGACGCAAGGTAAGTCTATGGGCGCGTGCACCCGCATGCAGACACCGTGGGGCAGGAAGTAACAGCAAGGACAGAGGAGTCAGCGCTGGATCGGAGAGCCGCCGCACTGCTGGAGGGAAAGATGAAAACATCAGGAAAGCAGATCGGATTAAGAGACATCATTTAAGGCAAGTGCTGACATTAACATTGGGGGGAGAGAGAAAAAAATTGACTTTAATGTCACTTTAACCACTTCACGACCAGAACTTTATTTTTTTCCGTTTTTTACGCGTATGTTAAAACCCTCAATTATTTTCTGAAAACAAAATAAATGGTAGATGCAATTTTGTTATGTTGTAAAATATTCACACTCATGCTTATCAAATATGTGTTTTTAAGAAACAAATCGACCAAAATGAATTTTAGTGCGCATTTTTTTTGTAAAAAACAAAAGGTCACATTGTGTAAGTAGATACCAAACAATATGTCAAGCCTTAAATCCATTTCCACCTTTTGCAGAGGTATTTTTAAAAAACATGCCCACAATATACACCGAGCGTACATGAAGCAGGCATATGCAGTTGCTGTAAATGAACACAGAAACGTATGTTTTCTGTTAGCTTTCCTCTTCATATCCTCATAGAAATGGCCGCCTCTGTGCTCTGCAAGCAATATGTTTATATTACAACTGAGCTCTCCCTCGCTCCCCGCACAGTGTATTGTGTGCACAGTATCACATGGAGGGGGGCAGCTGTTTACAGCCTGCTTTACAGTCCTACCCCGGTGTCAGACTTCTGCGGAGCAAAGTATCCTGCGGAGAAAATGTTTAATTTGTAGGATTCAGGCCACAAAAAAATGAAGAAAGCCTGCAATGTGAGTGATGAATATGTGCACACATATACATCATTACTGCACCTCTACATTACCACAATAAATGCTAATCACTTACAGAGGTGGAAATAACTTTAAAATTAGGCGTGCCCCCGCAATGGTGAAAAACTATGGTACTCACAACTGTCCATAGGTGATACATTAAAAGCCTTTACTGCTCATTAATGTAACAATGAATGAAGGCACTAGAAATATTCACCTGACTCTAACATTCATGGTGATACCTAACGTGTTCTGCAGCCACAGTATACATACAGATGCATGCCCTACACGTGTTTGCATTTGCATGTAGATGGATGGAGGCGTTATGGACCCATCACTATAGGTAGCCAGATGAGCATCAGTCTTATAGGGCCTTCCTTATCATCTTGAATTGTATTGTGATTGTAATGTCTTCCTTATATTGTAAAGCACTGCGCAAACTGTTGGCGCTATATAAATCCTGTATAATAATAATAATATATCTGCCCACATCCGTTCAGGTCAGTAAAAGTGGGACCTGGACGCTAACAACCCTGGAAGTGAGTGGATATTCGTACACATGAAAGTGGGTGGATATAGGCAGATGCACATCTGCTTGCATTCGGCCACCGAATTGGGTTGTATATTTGTATTGATTTCCCTGTGCATTAGTGATCATCTCTGTTGTAAATACAGGATAGTATACATTATCACTATTGGTTCTAAACTAGACCTGTATTTTATGTCATTTAAATACAGTGGGATTTACTGCACATTTTTATTTTTAAAGTGATTTACATAAAGCACTCTCATATTCACCATAGAAAATGACCACACACTGATGTCCATGTACCCTTTTGGGGTACAAGAAAGCTCCTCTTAATTTTTCCAAAGGTCCACATATATATACTTGCTGTATCCCGGACGAATATCATGGTAAAAAGATTAATATGGGCCCAGGATGGCCTTTAAAGGTTACTTGTTGCAGAAGCTTGAGTAGAAGATGACCTTATCCTTCTTCATTCTCCTGACACGGGATATACTAATAAACTGACACTCCACGTCCACGTCTCAGTTGTGAGTCAATTAAGGTGCGGTGACTCACTCACGATATCGGCACTCCGTGCTGTATTTGTTCCTCTTTCTTCATCAGGGAACTATAATAAACTCTTTCCTCTAGTGGACGGGAGATTTGCAGGTTTCTGTAGCCAGGAGCACTGACTGGGAGAGGAAAACAGGAACAGAATACGGACAATGTCAGAGTGTGACATGTGTGGGAATATGAGTCTGCCGTTTTATGTAAATTATGAATGTCCAATCCCTCTGTAGTAAGGTGCAGGCATCATTGAACGTTACATAAATAATAGAAGGAAACAACTTCCTGTTGCTGTATATTGACGGAGTCCTCCCTGGATGGAAGCACAGTTGTAATGAGCAACAGTGAAATGCATTGCTCTCTATCAATGGAATCATAACCCTGAAATGGGGATATAACTGCCCTAATGAATATCAACACTCCTGTAAATGTCCATAGTAATAAATGTAACACTTTAAGCATCAGTACTACGTTGCTGGATTTTTCTTAAAGATCAACTGTAGGAAGATATAAAAGACAAATTCATGCAGCTCTGTAATCATTAATACATCAGTAAATGTGCTTTTAAAATACAAACAGTGAAAGTATCTGAATCTGACCTGGTAATACCCTCTTGCAGTCACTTTACAAGAAGGCATTCAGTTCATATGCTAACAAAGGACATGCTCATAGGAGGAGAAAGTAGAGTGACAGAAAGAGGAACTCAACGCTGTGCTGCTTCTTTTACTGTCCATTCTTGATCTGAGTTCAGAGGAAAAGGGTTGAAGGATGCTGGACATCATACTGAGGACATATAACTGCAAAACATTACTGAGGGAAAATCTGAATTGACGGTGAAGCTGTTAATCTATTCATTTTTATCTTGTGTTCTTTTTTACTAGAGTTCTGCTATAAAAGAAACTTGTGTGCTCTTAATAATCTGGGACCTGCTATTGCTGATGACATTGCTATGTTTGCTGTCTTCTAGTCTCTGGCCTCAATTCTGACTTAGAACAAGCATTGTAGTCATAGTTAAAGCTTAAAGGAGAACTATGGGGTCAGTGTTTTTCCCCATAGTTCTCCTTAGGGTAACGGGAGGACACAAACTAGCGTCCTCCGGCTACCCTAAGCTCAGTATACCGGGAGCTGCAGCTCGCGGTATACTGAGACCCCGCAGCCGGAGCGGATCTCGACGTAGATGACGGGATCCGCCCAGCTGCGTGAGTGACAGCTGGCTCTGCCTATCTAGAGGCAGAGCCAGCTGTACCCGCCCCCTCCCCCGTCCGTTCCGCCAGTCAGCGATGGCAGATCGGAGCGGGGAGAGGGGAATCCAGCCCTCCCCCTGTCACGGCAGAGAGCCGTGACAGGATCCAGAGGTGAGCGAACCTGGTATGTGTTCGCTCACCTCCCGATCTACTGAGCCGACCTGTGACAGTCTCATTGTCACAGGTCTGCTAGAACTATGAGGTGAGTGGAAATCACTTTAACTGTAGGCTTTGCCTCTCCCTCTCCCTTATAAGCCCCCCAGTCATTTTTGCTTTTTTTTGTTTTTTTGTTCTTTTCTGAAATCTTCTGCTCAGTCATATGAGGCGATGAGTTTTCTTTAACTCCTTTGGGCACTGAGTGGTCTTTAATGATGCATTGAACAGTGCCATTCCCTGCCTCGTTATATATGTCAGCACAGGGAGCTGTGATGACGTCTCCTCAGGGGTGGTCTCATGACACCCTGTACTGACAGGAAGAAGGTTGAATGACACTTTGTGTCTTCAAATAAATGAACTGGTATGAAAATAAACATCTATGCTCTCCATCTCTGTTAACATGTTCCATGTGTTATGTATTGCTATAAAGCACAATTTACAGTATATGACCCATCTGGTCTGCTGCTGTCTTGGTGTTGCTATGCAGGGAATTTCAGATGACTAATATAAATACATACTCAGCTACTTATACCTACGTTCTTTAATAATCATCGTCATTTTTTTGTACGGCACATTAAAGAACAAATAACTGCATTTGTTTTTCTCTGGTGTTCAGAAGTTTCAGTTTCATTGCAAGTCTTTTTTTTCTTCTAAATTGTTACAATACTAATAATGTAATTTACTCTTTGTTTTTTAATTTGCAGACAAAGTTTGCACGATTTAGTGGTACAAATGTGGAAACCGATTTTGTGGAAGTGCCATCCCAGATGCTAGAGAATTGGGTGTGGGAGAAAGAGGCTTTGCAGAGAATGTCCAGACATTACATAGATGGCAACCCCATTCCTGATGAACTGCTGGACAAATTAATAGAGTCCAGACTGGCTAATACAGGTAAAACATTCATGCTATATTAGTGTATATTTATCACAGCACTTAGTGCTATAGCATAGCTGTCATTTCATAGAGGAGCTTTGAAACTTGGGACACTTTGGGGTCTATTTGTAAACCATGGATGAACATTTGTTTTGGGAGAATAATGCCAAAAATAAACTTTCTTAAACAATTTTTTCCAATTTGTGTATTGTGATGTAATACTACCTTATTTAATAATAAGTGTAGATTATTATTACTGTCCGCATCTTTCTGTCCAAGTACCAATCACTCTCCTCATTTCTTGTCCTGCTGTCCGAAGGATAGAAGGTGCGTTGACATTTCTCCAACATGGTCACAGACAACAATGAAAGCCTGGTAGACTTAGTCCATCCAAAACAAAAAAAAAGGTTTAGCTGGTGTTAGGCTGTGTGTAAACATGACTGATAAACCTGGCTTGCTGTGTGATAATGGTACTATGTAATGAAGGATAAGAACAATGAGGGACTCATTCCTTATTTCTAGGTGTGCTGGTGCGTTGTGCTGCCGTTCACTTTGAATGGCAACCCAGCCCATTACACACTGGTCGTGCGTTGCACTGTGCAGCACAGCACAGTACTACAACAGTGTGCATTCTAGTGCTCTGCAGTGATAAAAATCGTGCATGCATCCTGTACTGTCTAGTGTGAGCGAAACACGGGGCTACTGTGCCTAGCGTGAGCTGAGCACGGGGCTACTGTGCCTAGCGTGAGCTGAGCACGGGGCTACTGTGCCTAGCGTGAGCTGAGCACAGGGCTACTGTGCCCGGTGTGAGCTGAACACGGGGCTGCTGTGCCTAGCGTGAGCTGAGCACAGGGCTACTGTGCCCGGTGTGAGCTGAACACGGGGCTGCTGTGCCCGGTGTGAGCTGAACACGGGGCTGCTGTGCCCGGTGTGAGCTGAACACGGGGCTGCTGTGCCCGGTGTGAGCTGAACACGGGGCTGCTGTAAGTTATGATTGAAGTATGTCTGCAAGGTATCTGTGGAGTGTCTATATGCTGATGCGTTGAATGTAATACACTTTTTTTTTTTTTCATAATTCCCTCCGCACGTTCCGGTAGGCCCAGCACGCGGATATTATTGCGGCGTAGCTGGTTTCCGGTATGTACTGCCTTATCTTATAGGCCCTGGAGCTGCCGTTGTAGCCGTTGTACCTCGTTCGAGTCCGCCCGCGTGGTCTCCTCCACCTGCGAAATCCGGGCCTCCACCTCTCCCATGCGCGTTCGGAATTTATCCATATCCTGGCGCAGAAAGCTTACATCAGCTGAGAGGGAATCGATTTTGTTTGTGAGCGCCTCTTTACAGGAGGTGATTGCCTCCAGGATGTCAGAGCTAGTAGGTGAGGGGGACAGATCCTCCGAGCCGCCGGTCTGTGTGCTCACCGACATCTTGCTGCACTCCGCCAACACAGCCAAGATGGCCGCCTCCGAGACTCCACGAGGCCTGCCTCCCGAGGAGCGAGTCGATCTGCTCTTATTGCGTCTCATGTAGCCCAGTTCTGAGAAGGCGATCTCAATCAGGAGGTGTTCCGGTTCGCCTGAACCCAGGTAGATCTCAGAAAATCAGTACCAGGATAGTATCAGGATATTATATGGAGCGGAGCTGTTCTGGCACACGTCTGCTCGGGATCACATGCTGGCCACGCCCCCGAATGTAATACACTTTAGTCTCATTACTAACTAGCTCTTTATTGTGATAAACATCCTTGCCAGTTGCTGTAATAAAACTGTTTTCAGGGTGGCGCTGATTGTACACAATGGAAACATCTGTAGAGAGTTTTTGTCAAACGAAACCTGTTTAGTTTAGGCCCCGTTCACATTGAGCGATTTTTATCGCGTGGTAATTCCCGCGATATCGCGGCTATTTACCGCGCGATATCGCTCTTCAATGCATCTCAATGGGGCAAAGGGTCCTGCTGTCGCGGGTCGTGTGTCGCTACAGCAGGACCCTTTTTGGAGCGGATTTTGCCGCAATTCTCGCTTGCTCAATGCAAGCATTTGCGTGATATCGCGCAATGTGAACGGGGCCTAACGGGATAGAGGAACATCAAAGGGATCATCAGAGCAGCCAATCAGAAATCAGTGTTCGTGGATGTCAGTAAACTGTTTTTGAAGTCAGAGGTTTAAAGGGGGGAATCGGAGAATCACCATGAGGAGAGTTGTGAAGAAACCTAGAGACACATACTATAGGTGCAAATATAGATTAAACATATATGCTGGGTGTATGGAATGTCTGTTCTTTGCTAGTGTCCTTGTCATCATATTCCTTATCATCATCATGAAGATGGAGGTCTACATAGGAAGAGACTCACAGGGCTTTTATTTTTATTTTGAATATTCTCTGTTAAAGGTGAACTATGGGGTTAGGGCTTTTCCCTGACCCCATCATGTCTGGATCTGCCCAGCTGCGTGAGTGACAGCTGGCTCTGCCTATCTCGAGGCAGAGCCAGCTGTACCCTCCCCCGTCCGTTCCGCCAGTCAGCGATGGAGGATCGGAGCAGGGAGGGGGGAATCAAGCCCCTCCCCCTGTCACGGCAGAGAGCCGTGACAGGATTGAGAAGTGAGCGAACGCCGGTATGTGTTCGCTCACTTCCCGATCTACTGAGCCGACCTTTGACAGTTTCATTGTCACACATCGGATAGAAATATGAGGTGAGTGAAAAGCACTCGTCTCATAGTTCTCCTTTAAGACTGTTTCTGTTCCTCTATTTCTGGGATCCAGTAAACGCTACACTCTCTGGAACAGAACCGAGGTTGCCTGGATATTGCTGGAAAATTGCATTCTACATACCCCCCTATAAATATATTCATAGAAGCAAAAAGGTTTTATCAGACTGTGTTTCATGAAAAGTCGCAGGTACTGGCGCCTGTGTCATTCACGTTTCTATCTATATTCATTTTTATATATTATAACTACAATGTGTACAGGTGTGACCTGTCCCCTAAACGATCATTTCTGGAATACGTTCCTTATGGTTCATATCCTTCATTACATAGTAACATTATCACACTGGTAGCCAGGTTTATCAGTCATGTTTACGCACGGCCTAACACCAGCTAAACCTTTTTTACCCTGGATAGACATGGAAAGAGTCAATAGTTCTACCAGTTTTTTTTTTGTTCTCTGTAACCACCTCACTTTCTATCCTTCCTGACAGCCTGTGACAGCAGGACAAGAAATAAGGAGAGTGATTGTCACCTGACCTATTTGAATATAAGAAAAGTGTTTTCTGTCCCCACTGAAAAGATTTCCTATCATTTCCTTCTCCGACAAGAAGTAAGGAGAAATTTCCATGATAGGGCACAAAGCATAAAAAAAACCTGACAACGGTTCCCCTTCTATCAAAAACTAAAATAATGTTTTGAGTGGATTTAGGCTTGAAATCATTTTTAGCTGATGAACATGAATACTGTTTTAATACAAACTATGTACAGAAGGCACACCAATATAGTAGTGATGGTCATAAAATGACATGCAGCTGTACTTGTGTGCTAAGGAGCCGTTCTAAATTAATTGCAACACATAACGTGCTTAATGTATGTTGCAGTAACGCGTGTTACTGTGATGCCATGAGTTTGGAGTCAGCGTAGCATGTGTTGGCAAGATTATATATACATGTAAGCCTGATCCCTTTTAGCTGTCTTTCTAAAAATTGCAAAGACTCCTTTTTGAGACGTTTCTCAGTGTGTCTGTGAAGGTTCTCATTCATCCAGGTTATGGTATATCTGTAAAAAATAAGTCAAGGCAACTGGACTTTCTGTATTTTTCTTGAAGACGTTTCACTGGTCATCCAACCAGCTTTCTCAATTCAGAATGACTTGTACAAAAATCTGTTAGTCACAACCAGGTGGTGATTGTATTTGCATAATTGGAGTCTAGGAGGTGTTGAAACAGCATTGTATGTGGCACACAATAGATGTCTCCCCCCCCCCACCTCTTGGCTTCTCCATTTTTACATAAATGGCCTCTTTCACACCTCTTTTGAACCAGTCCTCGTCCCTGTCTAGGATGTGTACTTGACTGTCTTCAAAGGAGTGACCTTTTTCCTTTTAGGTGTAGATATACTGCCGAATCCTGACCGGAAGGTTTGGCTCTTCTTTGCTGTGCCATACGCTGGTGTACCTGCTGTTTTGTTTCACCGACATACAATTCTGGGCACTCCTCACTGCACTGGACTGCATACACAGTGTTGCTCATCTTGTGTTTTGGCGTTGGGTCTTTTGGGTTTTCAGAATTGTATGTCGGTGAAACAAAACAGCAGCTACACCAGCGCATGGCACAGCATAGAAGAGCCAAACCCTCTGGTCAGGATTCAGCAGTATATCTACATCTAAAGAAAAAAGGTCACTCCTTTGATTACAGTCAAGTACACATCCTAGACAGGGAGGAGGACTGGTTTAAAAGAGGTGTGAAATAGGCCATTTATGTAAAAATGGAGAAGCCAAGCTTGAATAGAGGTGGGGGGAGGGGGAGCATTTATTGTCTGCCACATACAATGCTGTTTTAACACCTCTCTGGGCAGCTTTTTAACACCTAGCTCCAATTATGCTAATGCAATCACCACCTGGTTGTGACTAACAGGTTATGTGGCTTGGAGCCACACTCCCCATATTTATTCCCAGATAATTTTTGTACAAGTCATTCTGAATTGAGAAAGCTGGTTGGGTGACCAGTGAAACGTCATCAAGAAAAATACAGCAAGTCCAGTTGCCTTGACTTACTTTTTTTTTTTACAGATGTCTCAGTGTGGACCTGGTAGTAACGGAGAAAGATCACCAGTCATATCTACAAGTACCTTTTCGTCTTCTTATCGATACCTATATCCCTATGTAGCCCCTTGGCTCCTAGACCAAGAATGTACATAGCCCCTCAAAGTCTCTGCAAGTTATGATTACTAGGTGTAGAGCTGTTCACACCATCAGTGCTGGTCTGCATTGCCTAATGGAGTTCCAGTGCAAAGGCAAGGAAATTATCCTTTGTTTCAGTTCACACCAATATGCTGAAAAAATATAGGACATGTAGTATTTTTGCACAGTGCATTCCAATGTGCTACAAAGTGTTCCAAAGTGCTGCAGTGCACGATAAAAAAGGGGCTATAAAAAGTATAGTGCAACACGTGTTAAAAATGCATTGCACAGCGCATGGTAGTGTGAGTTAACCACATGGCAGCCCACGGTAACCCATGCACTGGTGGGAATGAGTCTTTATCACCAGCCATGAGGTGAATGTTGACACCATCGGTATTTTTTAGGCCAGGCGAGGTTCACTGTAAGACAATCGTTCTGTTTCTTTAGACAAAACTCTTCTCTGTTATGAAATGGTCTTTTTTCTTATACAGAAATACCGTTACAGGTAATGTATCACCTTATGTTTATAATTGTGAACATGTAATATTCATAATTTGAAGTAAAATCAGTGCAAAGTAATAACTTACATTATGTCTACAAAACAAGTCACCGTTATTTAAACATATCTCAGTGTACCATTGTGTCTTATCAGGTCTCCTGACTCTTCGTCAGATCGTTCTCAGTAAACTTGACCAATCTCTGCACACAAAGCCGTCTGCTGACACAGCCAGTGAATATGCCAAGTTCTCGGAGGAGATTCTAGGGATCTCTGCCACACCAGGTATAGTACAATGTAACTGTTGGTGGAGCTAGCATATGTGGTCTGGTATTATCTTTAGACTCGAGGCAGCTCCCTATCATACAGGTTATGCCATGAGTCCCTGAAGTATTTCAAAGAATTTGTGAAGATTGAGAGTGTAACAAATAAATGATTAGTCCAGGATAGATGTATTATTCTTGATAAAAGGTCAATAAAGATTCGCCATTTCGAGGGATCTCGACTCCCCCTTTCTCAGGGCTTTAACTGGTGGTGATTGATGACAATACTGAGCAGTGTGGGCAAGAAATCAAAGATTATAATGACAGTGTGGGCACCAGATCCACACCAGGTAAAGTATAACTGCTCCTTGTGTCATTGTAGTGCCTTATACTCAAAGGACTACATGTGTTAAAGGTACTCTGGCATGGCAAGATATTATACAATACAACCTGCTAGGTGCAAGCGTGTGACAACGTAACACTGCATGAAGCACTCGTGAAAATAATTTTCTTCAATGGATAAATGGCAAATGATTTGCCAGATTCCCTATTGTTCTGTATTCCTAATGCACAGGTAAGTGACCGCTAGGGGTTTACAGGACATAGGAAGCTGCCTGATATGCACTGTACATTGGCCTGTTCACATGAGATCAGGTCCTGATCAGCAGACGTGGAGCTGCTGATGCAGTGTGTTTTTGGCCGCGTTCCAGCAAAAAAAAAAAAAAATTTTGCTGGAGTGGGGCTGTTAGTATGTTAGCTGCAACGCAGTGCGTTTTTGACGCGTTTGCGTATCCGGGCCGTTTCCGGACCTGACAAAATGTGACATGCAGTATTTTTTCTGTCGTAAGCTGAACGGACTGCGCACGTAAGAACTGGAGCCCATAAAACACATAGGGATACATTGGGATGCATTTTGAGTGCAGCAGCGTACGGAGCCGGTCAGCACACAAAACGGACGTCGTGTGAACAGGCCCTCATACCTGCCGAGCTCCTCACCTAAGCAAATCTCAGAGTTCAAATGAGAGAGACTGCAGTGCTTGCATCCCTTTAGAATTGAATAAGCCTTAGCAAATATCTCCACATAAACAAAACTTCTGTTGTAGGGAATGCCTCTAGGAAAAATTATTAAGCATTTCACACAAGCAGAACATCTCTAGGTGGCCCTATTGCAAGGATGTGACAGTTGTATACGTTACATTATTTAGATGAAAGTTGAGTTTTTCTCTAATTATTGTAAAGAACAGCAAGGTAACAACACTGCTGAAGTGCACATGCCAAGCACACCAAATAGTATAGGTACTGACAAGGGGACTTGGCCTAGGACTGCACATGTGACTTAGGGCCCGGTCACACAATAGTGTTGCGCTAAACACACAGGATCTATTAATTTAGTACACGCCATCGCACAGCACATGGTACCACATGCTACGTGTGCTGGTATGTTGGCTTTCCCTTAATTCTCAATGGCACCTCTTTGCACTCCTGGTGGGTGTGCGCTGCAGCGCAGTGCAACATGTGATGCCAAAATGACGTGTTTTGCCTTGCTAAGAGGTGACAAAAAGGAATGCATGCTCTACAATGTATCACTACAAGGCAATGCAACATATGCCTGTGGGGGGATACGTTGCCATAACATTGAGAATGAATGCCAATGCAACACACCAGCTCACTAAGTGTGCAGTACCGTGCGATGTACAGTTTGCACAACACTGTGGTGTAAATGGGCCCTAAATCTCTTTCCTACTGAGAGATTTAACTACTTATTGTCCATCATCTCATTAGCAGGACACTAATCTTAATGTGTTGCAAATTAGTTTACTGTCAACAGGCCGATAAATCTCTTAGTTGCATAGAGATTTACGGCCTTTGTTGATGGGTTTGGACTTGTGCTGATGGGCAAATGCAGCTTGCTTTTGATGTCAGATGGGGACACCGCATTGACAGTTGGCCTCCTTCTGACTTGCATTTAGCATTCTTCAAACTGCTTCTGCTTATTTGAGACTTATATGGAAAGATAAGCATTTCTGACACAAACAAAAGGCCATTGACACGGGCTCCTTAGTTCCAACCTAAATGTTGGGAAGGGTGCTCCTTAATCTTGACTTGAAGAGGAGTTAAGAGCTTGTGTAAGGCATGGGGCTAGGGTCCACAGGGATCAATTTGAAGATGAATACAGGCACGTTATCACTGTTATCAGCTTAGATACTTTGCAAACCAATTCAGGTTCACTGTAATTTATCTAATTTTCAAAGATGTACCGAGCACTTGCTGAGATGCAACCTAAAATGGCATCAGATGATGGACCAGTCACTGGCTTGGTACTATTTCTGCACATTGCTTTGGTAAAGATAGTCAGCTTGTGCTTTTGAATATTTCTGTTTACTTGTAATTGAAGGCACAAACATGCCAGCCACTTTTGGGCACCTGGCCGGGGGATATGATGGACAGTATTATGGCTACCTGTGGAGTGAAGTCTTCTCAATGGATATCTTCTATAGCTGCTTCAAACAGAAAGGAATAATGAACCCAGAGGTAAGGTTTCTTAGCCTACAATACTTTTTTTTATCGAAACCCTCTTAGCAGGCTTGAGGAAGAGAATTTATGTTTCAGATGGTAAAATGGTCAGCTTGATTTGGTGGGTCTGAGGCATTTGAAGAATACACTTGTGTGCACAATTTATTAGGCAAGTTGTATTTTTGAGGATTAATTTCATTATTGAACAACTACAGTGCTCTCGGTCAATCCAAAATGTTAATAAACCTCAAACCTGAATATTTCAGAAAGTATTAGATGTTCTCCTAAGAAAGCCACAATGATTGGGCAACTATTAGTGTGCAGGGTTATTATGCAACTAAATGGAAAATGAAAATGTTCCCATCTCATTTGTTTATTTTCATCTGATAAAGTGAGAATAATAAACAAACAACTCAAAATTTACAAATAAACATTTCTGACATTTTCAAAAACAAAATCAGTGACCAATATAGCCCCCCTTCTTTTCAATGCCAGTCATCAGCCTTCCATCCGTGGAGTCTGGCAGTTTCTTCATCTGTTGACGATCAACTTTTTGTGCAGCAGCGGCCTCTCAGACACTGTTCAGAGAGGTGCACTGTTTTCTTGCACCGTAAATCTGCCATTTAAGAAGGGCCCACAAGTTCTCAATAGGGTTTAGGTCAGGTGAGGAAGGGGCCATATTCTTTCATCTTTAAGGCCTTTACTGGCTAGCCACGCAGTGGAGTACTTCGATGCATGCGATGGAGCATTGTCCTGCATGAATATCATGGTCTTCTTGGAAGATGCAGACTGTTTCCCTTACCACTGCTTGAAGAAAGTGTCTTCTAAAAACTGGCAGTAGGTTTGGGAGTTGATTTTGAGTCCATCTTCAACCCGAAAAGGTTCCACTAGCTCGTCTTTAATACCAGCCCACCAGTACCCCAACTCCACCTTGCTGGCGTCTGAGTCGAAGTGGAGCTCTGTGCCCGTTACTGATCCAGCCATGGGCCCATCCATCTGGTCCACCAAGAGTCACTCTCATGTCAGTCCATATCCATAAAACCTTTGAGAAATCTGTCTTCAGATATTTCAAGGCCCAGTCTTGACGTTTCAACTTATGTGTCTTGTTCAGTGGTGGTCGAGTTTCAGCCTTCCTTACCTTGGCCATGTCTCTGAGCACTGAACACCTTGTACTTCTGGGCACTCCAGGTAGGTTGCAGTTCTTAAATATGACACCACTGGAAGATAATGGGTTCCTGGTAGCTTCACGTTTGATTCTTCTCACATTTTTGGCAGTTAATTTGCGTCTTTCTTTCTCAATACGTTTCTTGCAACCCTGTTGACTATTTGCAACAAAATGTTTACATGGTTCTGTGATCACGCCCCCATATCCTAGCAATTTCAAGATTACTGCATCCCTCCGTAAGACTTTTTACAATTTTTGACTTTTCAGAGTCAGTTAAATCTGCCTGAGGAAAAGTAGCTGCCTAATTATTATGCACACCTTGATGTTGGGTGTTGGTCTCCTAAGGCCACACGCTCCCTAATTACACAAATACACATCATCTGATATGCTTAAACCCAATAAGCCTTCAAGCTCATACAGCTTGGAATTGGCAATATGCATAGAAATGGTGATTTGGTCAAAATACTCACTTGCCTAATAATTGTGCACACAGCGTAGAGATACTTTGGGTTTTAGAGGAAAAAAAGCAAAGTCAAAATGTATAAATATGTAAGGTTGTTCATTCAAAGTAAACTCTGCCGTAACCAATTATCTAGTTTACTGTAAATGCATGAAACACGGATTCCAAGTAAAAAGTTGTACTACCTAGGTGATTTTCATTCCGATGTCTACACTTCTCTCCCAACAGCTGAGAATAAGCTTTGCAAAACACATGAGTAATCAGGAGCCGCTACATCAAAGGGTTAATAATGTCAAATCATTTTTGATATTTGTACACATTTTCCACACTGCACAGCCAGGTATGTGAGGGAGTTGTTCAGGGAGAGGATCGGGAGGTCAGCAATCGGCAGTATGTGTTTGCTGACTTTCTTTTCAATACACTAGACCTCTGACAGCTTCGGTGTCACAGGTCGGCTTAAATTATGTGGAAGAGTGTTTGTTTTTCACTTTTCATAATTCTCCTTTATCTTCATGTTTCAGTGGTTCAGCTTCCTATGCCACTTCTCCACCCCCATCTCATAAGGCCGTATAACATAAAATGTGGGAGTATTTCCACATCTGGCATACACAATTGCCCATAGTAAAGATTGCCATTAGGGTGCTGTATGCGGGTTTACGCCGCTACTTGCATAAACCCGCACGTGGATGCAGCCATACTCTCCTAGACACAGATTGTATGCATCCAGAGCTGGACACCCATACTTCTGTACATCAGGATGGGTGAAATATCTTAGATGTGCTTTAAGACTATATAGGCCCACTTTAATGAAGCTTTATTGAGGCCTATCAGGAACTATGAGAATTGTATCAGAAAATCAGCACAATTACCACCACCCTTAGTGTAGTAACTTAAAGTGTATTTCCACTTCCCCGGCCAAATTGTGATAACACCTATTTTATATTTATTACATGTTCCCATTCACATAGCATAAGCTAAAAAATCATTTAAAAAATGTTTCTTGCAGTTTAGATTGCTTTTACTTGGGTTAGGGTTTTAAGGGTTAACATTTCTTCTTGCTTCTGTTTCTTTGAAATGTTAGGAGGGGCTGTGGGGGTCTGAGGTGGCTTGTCCATTGTATGTTTATGAAGCTTATCAGATTAACACAATCCTCAAACACCTGTTTTAAGAGAAATATTTAGGCTGTCATTGCTGGCCTATGCTTAGGAGTATCCTAATTGCCTGGCTGCCATGCTAACTATTGGCTGCAAGGAATTAAGTCACTGTAATGCTAAATTAATATTTAATTTTCATATCATAGCCAACAATGTCCTCAGGGCTCCTCAGACAGATTGACCACGTGCCTCACCCCCCTATGTTATTATCTAATTACGCACATGTTACAGATATTTGGGGTTTCCAAGAGGTACATATCATTTTTAGTCATAAAAACATAATTTATTGTTGAGAACAATTAAAATATCATGTTATTGGCCATTCTTAAAATATAGCTTATTCCATTGCACAGTAAGAAGGGACACATATTGGGGAACAAGCTATGTTTTAAGAATGGCCAATAATATGTTATCTTAATTGTTGTCTACAATAAAAACGGCTTAGCTGACAACAGAGCAAATTAGCTGCTCAGCAGACCACAGTGTTATGTGGAGTGCCTCCCAAATGTGTAAGGTACGGTGCACTGACAAGCTGATGAGGTGTTGCTTTGAACACTATATAATTGGACTCGGAAATGTACTGGGGGGGGGCAAAGATGGATCATTAGATGTCATGCCATCATCATTGACCAATCCAGCTCAGCGGCCTGCAATGCGAGATGGCTGTAAGTCATGAGACCCTGTTAAGGATTGGACTGGAACGATGCTAAGACAGCTATTTTTGTAATCCATTGTGTGTTAACAAACTAAGTAAATGTTCCTTTTAATTGTAACACTATGGCGGGAAGTTTAAAGTGGTTCCTGCTGGGAGATGGCCCTATAGAACTCTGTGGGGCTGTAATGTGCAGGTGTGGCCAGCAGAGGGAGCATTGTTCTGGATAGCAGAACCGTGTTGGATCTCTAAGTAGGGATCTACAGAGAGGGAAGGTGGGATCACTTGGATCAGAGGTGGGGGACAGAAAGGATAAGTGCACTTATTCCTTAAACTGAACCCGTGTGGAATAGCTGTGGTGTACATTATTATATAAGCAGAATTTGGCTATATTTACGGCAGGGACTGATGGGAATGTGCAGTATGTAAATTGTCGGTGCTACATAAATACCTGTAATATTTATAAATTCCATTACAATTATGAACCTGCAATAAGTATGCATTTCAGGTTTCCAGAATTCAATTGCTGCATGCTTGCTTCACTTTGAACATATTACAGCATTGCATCAGAATAACAGTCTGGCAACTAATTTCAGCAATGGTAGCCTACATATTCCTTTCAGAATAAGTTCCCTTTAATGGTTACTTGACTGAGCTTCAGCCAGAGGAAACAGAGAACTCTGGGATATCCATTCATTTTCTGTTTTTCACTTTTACCACTCTGCTGTGAGTAGTTGAGATTGTGTTTACACACGCCGCTGTATGACCCCACACTGTGACGTTTTTCCCTGTAGGTTGGAAAGAAATACAGAGACCTTATCCTGAAGCCTGGGGGATCAGTGGATGGCATGGATCTGCTGCGAGAATTCCTGGGTCGTGAGCCAAACCAAAAAGCCTTTCTCTTGAGTAAAGGATTGAGACCATAAAATGTAGTTACCCTTTAATTATATACATTTCAATGGGGGAAAAAGTTATGTGACTTCTCTGAACAATAACTGCCTTGATAATGTGCCAAAATGTACTGACACTTTCGTTGTACTATGCCAAAATGTGGCTTAAATCACAAAATGGAATCTTTTTATATATCATTTCATTTGTGTTGTTTTCTGAGGCAGGAAATTGGGTATTTGTTACCAATAGGCTGTAAACATGAATTCATCTTAACTTTCCAGGTAAAATTTCACTGCCATAATGTGTACTAAAACACGCCACTCTTTTAGTGGTTTCTTGATTGAACTTTGAGCTTCAGTTTGCCTAGAAAAATCACAGATTCGGATATTAGATGATGTTTTAAAATATGATTTATATACATATAGTGCATGTAGAAGGACCAATTATGAACCTGTTTTAGGATATTTATGTATCCAAGTGTTATTTAGGTGGAATACAGAAAAAATGGCTGTCAGATGAGTTTGCACACAACCTTTGCATTCACTTGGAGTTAAGGTTGCTGTAAGATAAACTGTGCATGCCTGCCACAGGAGCCATTGTCTCTCTTTGGCAAAAGAGCTCCCTGTAGCTATCAACCTGACAACCAGTAAAATTTGGAAAAGACCCCATCAAAGTGTCCACTCTGAACATACAGTATATAGGGATGACTTCTTTTGATATGCCCATTTCATTCATGGGTGTTAAACCCAACATATTTTGTCAACTGTGAGAGTTGGTAGATGGTGTAGAACAGGGCTCAAAATTTCAAGTCCTGAGTTACTAGCCAGGCCGTAAAAGTTACTCGCCACCAGTTGCCCCACCTAACCCCTACCCTGGTCTTAACTCCGCCAGGTCAGCAGTGTGACGCAGAGTACAGAGATCAATAACACACAGTACAGAGGTCAGTGGTGTAATGCCGAATACAGAGGCCAGCGATGTTACAGAGTACAGAGATCAGTAACAACACAGAGTGCAGAGTCAAGCGGTGTGACGCGCAGTATGGAGGTCAGCAGTACAGAGGTCAGTAATGTAACATAGAGTGCAGAGGTCAGCAGGGTAACGCAGAAAAAAACAACAGGGACTTACAGTGCACAGTTGATCTAATTCAGGTGCTCTCGTCTTCTCCTGGTGGTGGTGGGGTGCAGCAATGGTGCCTCCATGTACCAAGCCTCCAGCAGCCTCGTTAAGCCTCCCTTCAGTTCCCACGCTGCAGAAATATAGAGAGGTCAGCGGTATGACACGCAGTCATTAATACGGTCAGTAATGTATAATATTACTATATAATAATATATGTAATATATAATAATATTAATACGGTCAGTAATGTAACACACAGTACAGAGGTCAGTAATGTAACGCACAGTGCAGAGGTCAGCGGTATAGAGGTCAGTAATGTAATGCACTGTGCAGAGGTCAGTAATGTAACGCACAGTGCAGAGGTCAGTAATGTAACGCACAGTACAGAGGTCAGTAATGTAACGCACAGTGCAGAGCTCATTTTGGTATCGTCAGCAAACACTGAGATATCGCTGTTTACTCCGTCCCCGATGTCGTTAATAAACAGGTTGGCGCCATATAAATACTATGTAGTAATAATAACAACGTGGGTGGAGGAAGCTGCAGGTGACAGGCAGACAGCTGAACTGATTCTCCCTTCTCTTCTCCTCAGCCGCTGCAGCTACAGAGCAGCCAAGGAGGAGAAGAGAAGGGGGGGAGAACCGAACAGGTGATCGCTGCTGCTGAAGCGGCGGCAGTTTTCCCCCCTAGCCCTGCCGGCAGCGGCTCCCTGATAAATTTCCACTTGCACTACTAAATTTTGACTTGCCAATTGCGAGGGGGCAAGTGGAAATTTTGAGCCCTGGTGTAGATTATAGAAGGATCACGTGATTAGAATCTCTGTATACCCGGCTTCCAGTAGAAATGCACAATTGATATCGTCACAGGCAAACAAACACATAATCTGTGCTAATATGATATTTGCGCTCTCATTCTCAGTAGTGGAGTTCTGCTGAATTATTCAATATGTCAACAAGCCAGAGATGAGACCTGGGGAAAAATACTTACCATTTCTTTCAGAAAAAATAAATAAATACACCCAAACAGAACATTCATTAATAAGTCATGTTTTTTCATGAAAAGAAGCATCAAAATGGAAATTGTTTAATGGACTGTTTCCAGCACTAGGCGTGCAGTCCCTCTGGATCATTGTCTACAGGGGACTGCAGAAACAAACCTTGAGGAACTACAAGCCCCATTGTGCCATTCAAGTATAATTGTGCTCTAAATTGTGATCGCTTTCATGTGGTCTTTTCACAGTTCAGTGCCGATGCACACCCTCTTTAAAGCCAGGCTGCAGGCCGTAAGGTATTTCACAAGATATGTGATCGGAGCACCAGATGCTGCCAGAGAATTGCTCCAAACATTGATGGACACATACTCAATACTTGTGTTTTCTTCACCTCGGTGTCTGCATGAGCCATATATCTTCTCATTATTACCTATGATACTCATCTACCTATATCCACTTCACTAGTCACTTAAATATATTCATTAGGCATTTAGCTATGATTTCCCCTTCGTCCAGAACAGCTTACGAGAGATGGGCTCCGCCCCTTTTAGCAGGAAACACGTCACCCCTATTTGTTTTTAAAGGTCCGCCTCTCTCCTAGCTCCTCAGTTTATTGTGTTTCCTCCGTCAGGGGGAGACATGTCACCGCAACGGTTGGGGGATAGGGGAAAGGTATCCCAGTATTCCCTCTCAGTGGGACCCTTGTGACGGTCAGAAGTACCTTAGTAGGCCGCCGGTGCGCTCCTCTGTCAGTAGGGGTTTCCTCACCGGATCCTTCCTCCTCTTCAGTGCCCGGGGAGGGCCAGCACCGGACCTGCGTTACCCCCATGGCTGAATCCTGGGACCGCGTGGCTCAGCAGTCAGGGACCGCCGGTCTGGGGATTCCGGATCGGATGGCCGACTAGGTCACTTCCGGTGCGGGTGACGCACTTCCGGGCGCCGCGGCCTTGCGTTTCAGGCCTCATTTCCGGCGCAGAGGAAGGGGGATGGGCCTGGCTGGTGCACGAGGCGTGTTCACAGGCTTTTCTGTGAGAGATCGCCGGTGGGAGTGATCGTCTTCCCCAGGATGGATCCTGTTCCTCTTCTGCAGACTGCACAGATGGATGCAGGTCCTTCAGGCACCAGCTCTGCTCAGGTAGGTGGATACTTCCATGTATTCCCTCCCTGTAGTTCTGACTGTAGCTATTTTTCCTCCACCTGGGGCTCCTTGGTGTTGGACTTAGGGTGTTGAGGGGGCACTATGACCTTTTTTACATGCGGTTAGCAGAGAGTTAATTCTGCTTTTTCTGCTGTTCTGTGTTGCAGGTCCAGGTTTCTAAGGGCAAGGCTGTCCCAAAAAGGAAATGTGCTCTCTGCTCCTTGAAACTGGGAACTGATTGGAAGAAACCGCTCTGTCAAAAATGCATTGAAGGGGTGTGCAGAGAAGAATCTGCCTCAGCATGCGGTGGCTTGTTGACCACTGTTAGGGAAGAGCTAGTTTCTACTTTTTCCTCTTTTAGATCCCTGATAGCGGATTTGAGACCAGCTGCAACACAGGGTTTGGTGTCCGGGCCTCCGGCTCAGGTTCAGCTTCTCCAGACAGTGTCTGGGTCAGGAGAGGTCTGTCAGAGGGAGCCAGAGGAGTATAGCGTCGCTGCATCCTCTCATCAGGGATCGTCTGCTGAAGAGGACAGTGACAGGGACGTTGGTCCTCCTACCTCTAAGTATAAGTTGTCTCTAGAAGAGGTAGATGAATTGTTGGGTGCCGTGTATGATACTCTAGATATTCAGGAGGAAAAAGTGCTGCTTTCTAGGCAAGATTTGATGTACCAGGGGCTCCAGCAGCCGAAAGCAAGAATTTTCCCTTGCAGATGCCATCTGTAAGGAATGGGCTGAACCAGAGAGGAAACCTCTTTTTTTCTAACAGCCTAAAGAGGCGTTTTCCCTTTGATGAAGACGCATCGATGCAGTGGAACATGGTTCCTAAAATTGATGCGTCGTTGTCAAAGGTCTCGAGAAAATCAGACCTAGCCTTTGAGGATATGGGGGTACTAAAAGACCCTATGGACCGTAAGGGGGAGGTATTGCTTAAGAGGGCATGGGACTCTGCTAGCACAAGTCTCAGGCCTTGGCAACAACTTGTGTTTCCAGGAACCTGGAATATTGGCTTACCCTGTTGAAAAATCACTTGCTGGCGGGTACACCGAGAGAACAGATCATTGATTCCCTTCCAATGTTGTTCAAGGCCATTGCTTTTATGGCAGATGCTTCAGCCGAATCGGTAAGAATGGCCGCTAGGACGGGTGCCTTGGTCAATTCTTCTCGCAGGGCGATTTGGTTGAAGGCCTGGGAGGGGGATGCAGCCTCAAAATTGAGGCTTTGCAATCTCCCGTTTAGTGGCGATCTTCCTTTTGGGCCTGAATTGGAGGCCATATTAGAACGTACAGCTGACAAGAAAAAGTATTTTCCAGAGAAAAAGAAGCCCTTTCGTAGGTTCTTTAAGGGGCCCAGAAACAAGGGTCAGAATATGAAGGGGGAACAGCCCAAAAAACACTTGACGGGGCAGAAAGGCAAGGGGAGTATTTTTACTAACGCTCCCTCCCAAGCTCCAAAACAGCAGTGACTTCTGTGTGAGGGTGGGAGGAAGGCTAGCGGGGTTTCTCCCTCATTGGAGGGAGATTACTTCCAATCGGTATATTCTCAATTTAATCCAAGAGGGTTACAGGTTGGAGTTCTGCAGCCCCCCACCCCATCGTTTTTTGATCACAAATCTCCCAGGGAACGCATCTCGAGCAGACGCTCTTTGCCTTCTGTTGGGAGAGTTGGTGGATCAAGAAGTGCTTGTTCAGGTTCCGGATCGGGAGAAGGGTCAGGGCCTGTACTCTCACGTATTTGTTGTACAAAAGCCGTCAGGGAAGTACAGGTTGATCCTAAATCTCAAGCTCTTCAATTTAGCGATCACGTACAAGAGGTTCCGCATGGACTCCATCTTTTCGGTCCGGAATCTGTTGCAAAAGGATTCCTTTTTAGCAACTCTAGATTTAAGGGATGCCTATCTCCACATACCCATTCACAGGACGTCACAAATTTTTTTACGCCTGGCGGTAAGAGTAGGTCAGGCGGAGGTACATTACCAGTTCAGAGCACTTCCTTTCGGGTTGTCCTCAGCCCCTCGCATTTTTACAAAAGTTTTGGGGGAGGCAATAGCTCCTTTGCGGGTGCAGGGGATTTGCATCATCCCCTATTTGGATGACATTCTACTGTCCGCCAGCTCAGAGGCTCAATGCGCCAGAGACC